CCTGCACCTCCCTCTGCCTGTCACCCTACCATCCCTCTGCCTGTCACTAGCACCTCCCCTCTGCCTGTCACCCTGCACCTCCCCTCTGCCTGTCAACCTGCACCTCCTCTCTGCCTGTCACCCTACCATCCCTCTGCCTGTCACCAGCACCTCCTCTCTGCCTGTCACCAGCACCTCCTCTCTGCCTGTCACCAGCACCTCCTCTCTGCCTGTCACCCTGCACCTCCCCTCTGCCTGTCACCCTGCACCTCCCCTCTGCCTGTCACCGGCACCTCCCCTCTGCCCTCAACCAGATGGATGGGCCCAGTGGCTGCAACAGTGACCTGATGCAGGAGTGATGGGGAGGACGGGGCAGGACTCGTGTCTTGCTGTGAGCACAGACCAGCCGGCTCTGCTGCCTTTTCTGACCTGCCTTGTGCTCATTTTTAAGTTACGTGGTTTACCTCATTGACCTGTGAAAGCCCTTCACATACATTGGTTGCCAGGTTGGTTATTAGATCTCTATCTTGCGAATCTTGTTCCCCAAACCATTGTTTGACCCTTCATTCTCTTACCAGTGTCTCTAACTTTAGAGAGTTGTTGTTGTTGTTGTTTGGTGCCGTCAAGTCATAGACGACTCACAGTGACACTATGAACAAACAGCCTGAGCACTGTTCGTACATAGAGTTTCCCAAGCCATTTCGGAAGTGGATGCTGCTCCTGCTTCCAGGCTCATTTTAGTCAGGAAGCTCCAGCCAACACTGTCCACCGTGGATACCCATTACCACTATTGGCTTATCACTGTCTCAGTGTTCAGCATCACAGCAACCACGAGTTACCTCTGTACAGCAATGCACAGACCAGTGCTATACCACCTGCACGTCAAACACAATCTGCTTTCCCCTTGTGTGTCCTTGCTGATGCCGGCCCCTCCCCCACCGCACCAAAATATGCTCATATTTTTTCTGGGAAAGTTGTATAGTTTAGCTTTTGCCTTAGGTCTGTGATCCATTTCAAGTTGATTTTTGTTAGGGTGTGAGGTAGGGATCCAAATTCTTTCTCATGCTTGTGGACATCTGGTTGCTTCCAACACCACTTGTTGAACAAGACTTCTTTTTCTCATTGAAAAACTTGGCACTTTTTGTCAAGTATCACACTTGATTGTGTGTGTCTTCCTGGACTCTGTTCTGTCCTATTGATCTATTGGTCTCTCCTTTTACGAGAATCAGATTGGTTCCATAGATGAAGCTTTAAAAGAAGGTATTATGTGATCTAAAGAAGAGATCATGTGATCTATTACAAAGTCATTTACCTTTGATTTCCACTGACAGTTCACAGTTTAGAATAGCTTGTTAATTTATTTTAAAAATATATGTCTCCTGTGATTGTGATGGAAATCAGATGGGCTCTGTAAATTGGTGAGGGAGGACTGACTTCTTGTAATATTGAGTCTTCTGCCACTTGAACTTGGTCTCTGTATTTTAAACCTGGCTTTAGGTGTAAGTGTTTCCTGTCCATGGAGAGGAGAGGGGATAGTGAAGTGAGACATGTAGATGTCCGTCTGACCTCTCCACTGACCATGTACTCTGTGTAGATTATCTGAGCACTCTGAACTTCCATGTCCACATCTCTAAAAGTGTCATCCCACTTTTTTCTTCTGGGATTTTTGTCAGGATTAAAGAAGATGGCAGGCAAAAACCTCCGGCCACAGTGCCTGGCCGAAGTGTTAACCCCTTTCCATCCTTCCCTCGCAATCACAATATGAAAAGAGCGTCTAACTAGAATTCCAAGTGAGCAATATTAAAATATTAGGAAATATAGCTTAGAATTGGTTCCTATGAGAAGTGTCTCCTAATTTCTCTCTGTCCATGGAGATTTAAACGTAATGACTCTCTTCTGAGAACCACCACCACGTGTGTGCTGCTCATGTTTGACTGGCACTCTCCCAATCTTGGCAGCCAGTGCCAGCATGAATGCAAGTCCATCAATGCAGTGATCGAGGCCTATAAGAAATCCATCACAAAAGAGGAGGAGAAGAATGAAAAGCTAGCCAGCATCCTGAGTAGGGTGGAGAATGAAGCCAGCTTCATGCAGAAGCTGACCGACCAGTGCCTGGCCAAACAGGAAGCTCTGCAGAACGAGTTCAACACCTACCAGCTGACCCTGCAGGACACGGAGGATGCCCTCAACAAGACCCAGCAGGTGTGCCCTCGTCCTCTCTCAGGACAGTGCCTCCTCCATGTCTGCTCTCAGCCCTCCGCGATGCCTTTGTGCCGGTGTCCACCTCTGTTCCTCCCCCGCAGGAACACACAGTCATCATGGGTGAGCTGCAGAGCATCAACCAGGCCATCCAGACCGAGATGGACATGAAAAGGAAGATGGAGTCCTCCATCCTGGAAAAACTTCAGGAGCACATGACCTCCAACAAGATGGCCAAGTCCTACAACTATCACATCCTCAAGCTGCAGAAAGAAAAGACGAATCTGGTATGTGGGCCCCTCAGACACAATGTCAGCTCTGAAGGGCAGGTGTGGAGGGCCCTGCCCTCAGCTACAGGGGCCCTGGGATTCAGGGAGTCCTGCCCTCAGCTCTAGCTCCCCCCATGCAGGGAGGCCTGCCCTCAGCTCTAGCTGGATACTGGTCCTCCTACATGTAGTTCCTCAGACTCTCAGCAGAGGGCAGTAGAGAGCCCTGGGGACCATGTCCATTATTCTGTTTTGTCAGAAATTCAAAAGCAGGGCGGGTGGGGTCTAGAAGGAGAGCAGGTCCGGTTCATGTGGGGTTTCAGCTGTGTGGGATGTGAGGACAGAAATGTGGGGCTCCAGACAGGAACAGGGCAGTGGGGAGCGGAGCTGGGGTGAGGGGCATGGGAGTCCTGGCTTCTCTGGTGGGGACAGAGAGCACAGATGATTGAGGAGGAGCTTTACCCTGACCATGAACTTGAGGTGTCTGACGCTTTCTGTGGACCCGGGGGTGGTTGGTGGCCTTGGACCACTTGGCAAAGGAGGAGAGTGATCCAGCTGAGGTGCTGAGGGCAGTGGGACTGGCACTACTAGTGACCCCAGGACTGGACACTTTCACTCCTAGGTGGGCAGGGTCAGTGGGAGTCACCACTGTGGCCAGGAGGAGACAGGCCTAGACAGACAGCAGCTGTTTCAGGAGAAGCTTGGATGACCTCTTGGCAGGGCTGGGATCTGGGGGGCACATAGGCGAGGTCAGCAGCAGTCACAGGGGGCAGCAGTGTGACAGTGAGAACTTGAGTGGTGGCCAGAGAGACAGAGATGAGGGCAGGCTGGGGGAGGATCTGTGGTCACATTTGCCCACGATGTGACCGGCTGCCGCTGGACCCCACTCATGGTCACCCATGTGTCAGAGAAGAACTGGACTCCGGGGTTCCAGGGACTGGATGTTTGGAAACAGAGCAGCAGGCCTTTCCTCCAAGGCACCTGTGGGTGGATTCAAACCTGCAGCCTTCTGGTCAGGCCTGTTAAGCATTTGCATCGTCCAGGTTACATTGTTGTTATGAGGTGCGATCCAGTCAGCTCCGACTCACAGTGACCTGACCGCAGTGAGCCCTGCCTGTCCTCATGTCCCCTCGCGGCCTCTCCTGTGCGTGACCCTGAACCACAGTGACCCTTGCAGGCCCTGAGTCCCCTCACGGCCTTTCCTGTAAGTGAGCCAGTTGTTCGAGCTGCAGTCAGGGCATCTCACTGAGGGTCTTCCTCGTTTTTGTTGACCCTCCACTGTTGCAAGTTCAATGTCCTTCTCCAGGGATTTGCCCTCCCCGAGGACACGGTCCAAGTGTTTGAGACAGTCACGTTCGTACTTGTTTACTAAGAGATGAAGCAGTCGTGGTAGTGGTCTGAGTTCGTCAGCTGCCTGCCAGGCGCTTGGCAGCCTCTGAAAACGTGCTTCAGGGTTGGCTGGGACCTGGCTCCGTGGTGATGGGCAGCAGCGTGCTTTATCTGTAGGAATTCACTGCTTCCAGTAGCCGTCCCTCCTGAGCTAGCGCCGACACCTTCCTCCTGAGATCCGCCTGGAATTCCTCTGGATGGGCCCCCAGCTGTGAATGGAAGCAATAAACCACCGCCACTTGCCAGACCTCCACGAAAAGAGACCCGGTTCAGACTTCTCCTCTCCCTCACTCAGGTGACTCATCTGTCCAGAATCAACGGGGACATCGCACAGACCACCCTCAACATCACCAACACTGAGTGCCGCCTGGACATGCACCAGAAGACGCTGGCGGGGCTGGACAAGGAGGTGAAGAACGTCAATGAGCTCATCACCAACAGCGAGAACGAAATCTCCAGGCGGACCATCCTGATTGAGAGGAAGCAGAGCCACATCAACAGCTTGAACAAGCAGCTGGAGCAGCTCGTCTCCGAACTGGGGGTGAGAGCTAGGGCTGGGGGACACCCAGGCTGGGGAGGACCCTGAAGGAGGGAGAACCCTGGGATGAGGAGGACTCTGGGCTAGGGAGGATCCTGAACTGGGGAGGACCCCCAAATAGGGAGGACCCTGAAGTGGACAAGACCCTGGACCGGGGAAGACCCCAGGGTGAGAAGGACCCCAGACCAGGAAGGACCCCGAGAAATGGAGGACCCTAGGCTAGGGAGGACCCTGGACTGGGGAGGATTCTGAAATAGGGAAGAGCCAGGGCTGTGGAGGACCTACGTTTGCTGGCGGTGACTGAGGACAAGTCCCCACGTGCACCCCACTCCATCCCTGGGGTTCTGTCTCCCGCATCCCTCTGTGTTCTCCCTTCCTGCTCTTTCCAAAACATCGCACGTGGACAAGGGAGCTGGAAACCCAGCAAGAATCCTTGTGTGTCAGAGATGATTATGTGCTGGCCCTTGACCTGACCCTCCCAGAGGTCCCTTGGAAGGAAGGCCTAGTGACCAGCTTCCTGAGGGTCAGCCGTTGGCAAGGCTGTGGAGCAGAGATGGACACACGTGGGGTCCCAGGCGTAACTGGCTCGGCAGCACCTGGCTGACACCAGTGTCCTCTCTCTGGAGGCCCGTGTCACGGGCTTCTGTGGGATCCACTCGGTTAGATGCTGCAGTGTGTTTTACGGACAGGTTTATGGTAAATCAGCCACTGCCACCTGCCCCGCACACGCTCAGTCTGTCTCTGTCACGTCCTCGTCAGTCTAAGTATCTCTCAAGCTTTCCTAATGCTGTTGGATATTTAATTGACAACCAACGCCAGACCCACGCGGTGCAGCTGACCCCACCTCCAAGGGACCCTCCACCAGGGTTCTGAGGCTATAAATGGTTAGGGGAGGAAGTTGTCCATTTTTCTCCCTCAGAGCAGTGGGTAATTTTGGGCCACTGACCTTTCAGTTAGCAGGTGGACACACTGTGCACTTCCCCACCAGGGATCCTTAACAGATGGCTGCACAAACAAGCACAACCCCTGCTGTTGTCCAGTTGACTTCAACTCACAGGGCCCTCCGCCGGGTGTTTGAGGCTGTAGGTCTCCACTGGGGGGCACTGTCCACCTTCCTCCCTTGACGCGACTCCTGGATTTGGATTGGGATCCTGACTCCTTGAACTTAACACGTTAGTGGCCGGCTGGCTACATGCACTAGCCCCAGGTCTCCTCACTGCTGCCGACATCGACTCGTGCCCAGAAATGCCCGCGTGTGTGGCTCACCCTCTGGCCATGTCCACTTTCTTGCGATGCTCTGGAATGAAGCCCACAATGTCTGGTGGGCCTGTCACAGCCCTGCCTCAGTGCGGAGAGAGCCACCCTGGACGGTGCCTGTGAGCGTGGAGCGGGAACGTGGCTGTTATCACCCTGGACACTAAAGGTGGAATGGCCGGCCACCGCGACGGGCGTAAAACACTACTTTCCTGATCTTTGTCCCAGCTCACAGCTTGGGCAACGATGCTGGGGGCCAGGCCAGTCTTGCTGACCCTGACTGTGGCCCTGGGTGAGTTCGTCTCAAGAGTGAGCGCCCTGAGTGACCATGACAACAGGAATTCGCCTTGTTCACCCTCAGTGGTGGAACAGGCTGCTGGCCAGCACCTACCCAGGCCCGACCCTCAGGGCGGCCCCAGTGGACCTCGGAGGGCATGGTTAGGTGTTATTTGCATGACAACAGTCCAGAATAGGAACTGCATAGGAAAGGGCTGAGGTGGGGAGGGGGGACTGGAAAACAATGAGATAATTTTTTTTTCAAGGAGAAAAGCAAACTGCAGAGGGTGGGCAGGAAGGAAGATATCCAACGATTAAAGAATGGAAATTCAAGTTCTCTGCAAACTTTCATTAAAATCTCATTTATTTTTAAAAAGGCAACTTTCACAGAAAAGCCCCCCACAGAAAATAGCAAGTCTGCCTTCCCTACTCCTTTGCTGGCTCCTGAGGGGTTCCAGACCCCTCAAAACCAGTATCCCTGACAGCAGCCTGGTGGCTTGTACCTGGGGGCTCTCAAGGGCAGGGAACAGAGAGATGGGGTCCTGGCCCCCAAATAAATGAACCCCAACCCTTGTCAGTCTCATTGTCCTGGGGGCTCAACCACCCAGAAAGGAGTCCGGTGAAAGCAGGGGTTTAGATTGTTTGGGCCAGAGGGAGGGCTTTGATGAACAGAAACGTATTTTCTCACCAAACCACGCTCTATCTGCCACTCCGGAGACGAGCTTTCCTTCTCCCTCGCCTCGTGGTTGCTCTTGGTCTGCAACTGTAAGTGGCCCAGTCCTCTGGCTGTGTCGTCCTCTGCGGTGGCCCCCGTCACGTGGCCACGTCATCCCTCCAGGCGTCCTCCACTGTGGTCCCCCGTCACAGAGCACCTGTGTCGTTGCTGGGTCCCACCACGTCAGCTCTGCCTCGCAGTGACCCTTTGTACGACAGGTCCCAACCCTGCCCGGTCCTCACCGTTCCCACTCACTGAGGCCCGTTGCTGCAGCCTCTGTGGAAGCCCACGTCCTGCAAAGTCTCCTTCACTGACCTCCTGTGTGGTTGGGAGCCGTGGAGTCGGCTCCAGCCCCCCAGTACTCTGTGAACAACAGCTGTGGCATCCTCGTGGACACATGCAGCTCTCCTGAGAACCCCAGAACCCCACACTCACTGCCTTCGATCGAGTCTGACTCAGAGCAGCCGTGGAGGAGGGAGAACGCCTCCCGCAGGGGCCCAAGGCCATGGGTCCCACAGACCGCCTCCGCCTTCCCCACGGAGGGCTGGTGGGCTCGAACTGCTGATGCTTCAGCCAGCAGCCCAGTGCTAAACCACTGTGCCACCTGTTTTCCTCTCAGGGGGAGGAGCTTGGGCCACTGGAGCTGGAGATTAAGCGGCTGACGCGGCTGATTGAGGACCACGAGGCCAGCGCCATCCAGGCCCAGGGCACTTGGCTGCGGCTGCAGCAGGAGATGGTCAAAGCCACACAGGAGCGTGAGGAGCAGCTGGCCGACCTGGACATGTTCAAGAAGACGATACACATCATGGAGCAGAAGAAGCTGCGGGTTGAGAGTGAGAGTCCATGCCAGTGGGCTGAGGGCTGGAGGGAGGCTCACGTCCAGGGGCAGGGCGGGCAGGACGGGGACAGGGACGCCGACAGGCACTGTGGGGTCAGGGAGGAGGTCCACGTTCATGCAGGGAGCAGGCAGAGATGGGGACGTGGACGGGGATGTGGACAAGAACAGGGATGGGAAGATCCAGGGAGGAGACGCACATTTGGAGGGGAGGGCGAGTGGCGACGCGGACATGAACATGAACACAGATGGAAGCGGAGTCGGACGCGGACATGGATGCAGCGTCTGTCAGGTGCTTGGGCGTCCGGGAAGGAGTCACGTCCTCAGTGAGGACAGAGCACCCTCGTCCACTTTATTTTAGTTTTGGGGTGGAATTTAGGCTCCTCTTCAGCAGTGTCCACATGTCCACTTCAGTGACATTGGTGGCACTCCCCAAGTTACACCACTTTCCTGGACATTTCCTGACAACCCAGCCCCGGGAGCCCGCCCCCCGCCCACCTCCTCCCTGACATCTCCTCTGCCTCCTCCCACCATAACCCCCCCCCACAGTTGTCCACCTTGTTGCCCAGAGAGAACCCTCTAAAGAGTTTTTGTTACTGAGAACAAAAATCACATTATTCTGGTGCAGCCTTTAAAACAGGCCTGTAACGCCTTCTGTAGGGCAGAGGCACCCAGCAGCCTGCCCCATCTGCAGACACAGTGGACGGCCGTGTCTACCCAGCTATCCAAGTGCATGGTCTTCGGGCCTGCCCAAAATCCTTCACAGACAGGCTGTTGAATACGCCCGTCAGCTCGGTGGCTTAGTGGTAACGAGCTGCACTGCTGACCCCAAGACAGGGAGCTTGAACCCACCAGCTGCTCTGCCGGAGAAAGACGGGCAGTCTCCTCCTACGGGACTTACAGCCTCTGAAAATCTGCTGGAGGGTCAGCTATGAGTGTTCCAACTTGACAGGACACAACAGCAACAGTCACCTAGTGTTGCAGAGATGCCACAAGAGGGGACCTTTAGAGAAGCGAGACGCCTGTTCTCACAGCCCCGGAGGGTCACAGGCACACCAGGGTCCATCAAGCCTGCACCTCAGTTCCTTGGCTTGTAGATGGTCCTCACGTGGTGTATGTGTGGGGGTGTGGTTGTGTGTACATGTGCACATACATGGGTGCGTGTGGGTGCCCACTCTGCTGGTTTTATAACCAAGGAGGTTTGCACTTTGGAGTCTCTCTGTGTGGCAGGACCTGCAGCATTAAGGAAGACACCTTATTCCCATATCACACCCAGCACATATCTGGGGGCACAGTCCCCACAGTTCAGTCCCGAGACACCCTGCCAGGAGCTCCCCAACACTTACAGACTCAGCAAGGTGTTGCATTTGAAGGAGATGCCCTCTGACCTTCTCCAAATGGACTTCCAACTGACCCCCTGGCTCTCATGCCCTCTCCTCCCCAGGTTGTATCCAAGTCCCAGGGTCTCCCAGAGTGACAGGGTGTCAGAGAGAGGAGAAAGGAGTGTCCTTCCTGGGCCACTCATGGTCATTTGCAAAGAGCTCCTTGGTCCCACCTGGTCCCAGTGATAGGTCCACATGGATCTGCTTGACTGTCTGTTCAGAGGCACCTAGGAAGAAAGGCCTGGTGACCTATTTCCAAACACTCAGCAACTGGAAGCTCCACAGAGCAGACAGGACTCCACCCTGACACACAGACCGACGGAGTAGACAGGGCTCCACACTCACATATGGGCCCCACGGAGCAGACGGGTTTCCACCCTGACACACGGACCCCATGGAGCAGACAAGGCTCCACGCTGACACACGGGGCCCCACCAGTCAACGTTGGCTCTGCGGCCCCTGGTTTGCTGATTTGGTTTGTGAGGAATCAGGAAGGATAGTGGGAACTCGGGAGAAAGCCCTGGCTGGCCTCCCAGGGTGCACCCCGACGTGGCCCAGGCCCTGGACCCCCCTGAGGCGCTGTCCTCTGGTGCAGACAAGATCACGCAGGAGAAGAAGGAGCAGAAGGAGCTGGAGCGGCACATGAAGGACCTGGACAACGACCTCAAGAAGCTCAGTGTGCTTACGAGCAAGAACCGGTCCACCTCCGAGCAGCTCCAGCAGCTCACCATGGTGACCGAGACCGAGTTCGTGCGTGCGCTCAAGGTCAGCTGGCCACCGCCCCCACCGAGCAACCCCCAGCATTTGCCTCCCCACACCATCCCCCACCCC